GTCCCCTGCATCGGCAGGCGGACTCAACCGCTGTGCCACCAGCGAAGCCCCCCTCATTGTAGTTTTGATTTGCATTTCTCTAATGATTAGGGATGTTGAGCATCCTTTCATATGTTTGCTGGCAATCTGTATATCTTCTTTGGAGAAATATCTGTTTAGATCTTCTGCCCATTTTTGGATTGGGTTGTTTGTTTTTTTGATATTGAGCTGCATGAGCTGCTTGTAAATTTTGGAGATTAGTCCTTTGTCAGTTGCTTCATTTGCAAATATTTTCTCCCATTCTGAGGGTTGTCTTATCATCTTGTTTATGGCTTCCTTTGCTGTGCAAAAGCTTTGAAGTTTCATTAGATCCCATTTGTTTATTTTTGTTTTTATTTCCCTTTTTCTAGGAGGTGGGTCAAAAGGGTCTTGCTGTGATTTATGTCATAGAGTGTTTTGCCTATGTTTTCCTCTAAGAGTTTGATAATGTCTGGCCTTACATTTAGGTCTTTAATCCATTTTGAGTTTATTTTTGTGGGTGGTGTTAGGGAGTGTTCTAATTTCATTCTTTTACATGTGGCTCCCCAGTTTTCCCGGCACCACTTATTGAAGATGCTGTCTTTTCTCCATTGTATATTCTTGCATCCTTTTTCAAAGATAAACCCACACACATATGGTCACCTTATCTCTGGACTTTCTATCCTGTTCCATTGATCTATATTTCTGTTTCTGTGCCAGTACCATACTGTCTTGATCACTGTAGGCTTGTAGTATAGTCTGATGTCCGGGAGCCTGATTCCTCCAGCTCCATTTTTCCTTCTCAAGATTGCTTTGGCTATTCAGGGTCTTTTGTGTTTCCATACAAATTGTGGAATTTTTTGTTCTAGTTCTGTGATAAATGCCATTGGTAGTTTGATAGGGATTGCATTGAATCTGTAGATTGCTTTGGGTAATATAGTCATTTTCAAAATGTTTATTCTTCCAATCCAAGAACATGGAATATCTCTCCATCTGTTTGTATCACCTTTAATTTCTTTCATCAGTGTCTCATAGTTTTCTGCATACAGGTCTTTTGTCTCCTTAGGTAGGTTTATTCCTAGGTATTTTATTCTTTTTGTTGCAGTGGTAAGTGGGAGTGTTTCCTTAATTTCTCTTTCAGATTTTTCATCATTAGTGTATAGGAGTGCAAGAGATTTCTGTGCATTAATTTTGTATTCTGCTACTTTACTAAATTCATTATTAGCTCTAGTAGTTTTCTGGTAGCCTCTTTAGGATTCTCTATGTATAGTATCATGTCATCTGCAAAGAGTGACAGTTTTACTTCTTCTTTTCCGATTTGGATTCCTTGTATTTCTTTTTCTTCTCTGATTGCTGTGGCTAAAACTTCCAAAACTGTGTTGAATGATAGTGGTGAGAGTGGACAACCTGGTCTTGTTCCTGATCATAGAGGAAATGGTTTCAGTTTTTCACCATTGAGAACGATGTTGGGTGTGTGTTTGTCATATATGGCCTTTATTATGTTGAGGTAAGTTCCCTCTGTGCTTACTTTCTGAAGGGTTTTTATCGTAAATGGGTGATGAATTTTGTTGGAAGCTTTTTCTGCATCTATTGAGATGAGATGATCATATGTTTTTTTTTTTTTTAAATCAGAAAATCATTCAATAGACTCTTCACCATAGAAGATGTGCTGTAGTAATTGAAAATTTAACTATTATGTTGTTGAGGCACTGGGTTTATCTGACTAACCCATGAAAACTGAAATGCGTGCAAATCAAAATGGTGCACAGCAAGGACTACCTATATTTTAAAAACATAATCACAACTACTTTCAACGTTTATGAATTTCATGTGTTTTCATTTGTACTAAGTGTTGGGCAAGGGACACATCCTATAGTATTTTGGGGGATAGTGCCCCACCATGAGTGCATTGACATCTGGTATGAAACACTCTTTGCCCTAATTGCCCTTACTGACTAGTAATAAAAATGGCCCACATGTATTGCATCACGTGTCAAGCATAGTTTAAAGGCTCATCTCATTTTCTCTTCTCACAGCAAAGTAAGTACTCTTATTCTTTGTGGAGGCTTAGGTAGGTTCAGTAATTTGGAGAGAAGAGATTCAAACTCAGCTGGACTCCAGAACCTGTGCCCTTCACTACTGTATACAGGTGGAAATGATCGATATGGTGACTTTGCAGAGAGGGGAAACACAAGGAGTTATGACACTATGCCAGAGTGAACAGCTTAGCTGTGGGACCAAGATGGACTTTCCCAAGGAAACACGGTGTACACTTCTTCTTTAGTGAGAATGAATGCTAGACACACGTGCACAGAGACAAGTGGGTTCTAACCGGGCCTTTGTCAATAACAGGGTAGGCAGTGTAGACCAGTGATCTCCCTGAACAAGATTCTGTCCTTCACTCATGTGGCTACTGTCTTTTCAAGCTTCAACTTTTTATGCTTATCAATAAATAGGCACCTTTAGTAGATAAAGATTTTTATTAGATTTTTACTTTAATTTTCACAACACTTTGAAGTTATTATTCCCGTAGAGTAGTTGGCAATACTGCAGCTCAGAGGAGTGAAGCAGCTTCCTCAGAGTTACACAGCTACAGGTGCAGAACCAACATGCTAATTCCAGCATATCTTCTCCAAAACTTACGCTGGGAATCCTTTGCTTCCCATGCCATTACCCAGCTAATCCAGCCGTCTCTTGGTTCAGACAGTTTGCCATGAGCATAAGATAGAAGGAGATCATACTTCATAAGACCATTTTTTTTAATGTTTTTCTTTTTTGTTCTTTTTTTTTTTTTTTTAGTATTTATTTATTTATTTGGCTGTGCTGGGTCTTAGTTGTGCCACATGGGATCTTTAGTTGCAGCATGTGGGATCTAGTTCCCTGACCAGGGATCAAACCCGGACCCCCTGCATTGGGAATGTGGAGTCTTAGCCACTGAACCACCAGGGAATGAACCAATTCATGCCTCCTCCACATTCCTCACTCCCAGCCAGACTCTGATTTGAGTTCCTAACTGCCCATTACCCATACCCTTTATTCACAATTCTTACCTATGCTTCTTATTTCTACCTTGATTGGTCTTCTTGACTATTTGGTACCTGGCTGATCTTTAACTTTTATTTGATCACTTTGGACTCTATCTCGGATCCATTTGACAGTGGAATCCTCTTAATGTACCTTTTCAAGCAGAATTACTGGTCCAGATCCCAGGCCAAGAACCAGACCTTTTCCTGGTGTTTGTATAGGTTGACCAGAAGTGTAATCTTCCTATAATGTCCTGCAAGTCACCTGGGTCCTCTGGTATCAGAGGAAATGCTCACTCATGCGTCACCTTTTTTAAAATTGAAGTGTAGTTGATTTATAATATTGTTAGTTTCAGGTGTACAGCATAGTGATTCAGTTATTTCTTTGCAGATTATATTCCATTATAGGTTATTACAAGATATTAAGTACAATTCCCTGTGCTATACAGTAAATCCTTGCTGCTGATTTTATGTATAGTAGTTTTTATCTGTTAATCCCATATTCCTAATTTGTCCCTCCCTCTCCCCTTTGGTAACTGTAAGTTTGTTTTCTATGTCTGTGAGTCTCCTTCTGTTTTGTATATTGATTCATTTGCATAATTCTTAGATTCCGCATATAAGTGATACATAGTATTTGTCTTTCTCTGACTTTTTCACCAAGCGCAATATTCTATAGGTCCATCCATGTACTCTTTACTCTGAACTTTTTTGTTCAATAATAGCTTTAGAAAAGCAGTGTCTGCTTTTGCTTTCAATCTTAAAAATGTTGAAAACAAGCTTTTATCTCATATAAATTCTAAAGTTTTATACATTCATTTAAAAAACTGTTAGTTCTCTTTTTAAAGTTTGCATTGACAGCTGCATAAATTTCTGTCCGTTTAAATAGCCGTGCTTGAAAGTCACTTCGACTTTTGAAAGCTGCCAGATTGCCTTATCATTGTCTGAGAGATTAGGGATGCTTGTTTGGAAGGTTGTTTTATTTCTAAATAAAACTGAAGTTTTGTTGTTCCATTGTAATGTTTCATTTTAATCTGGTTGGTTTCTATCTGGATATAATTTATAGTAGGAACCAAACATAGTTCAGTGAAAAACCTTCCATTATAAATGGCTGACTGTCGTTTGCTGCCTTTAGGTGTCCTTGTCAGCTGCATTAGACTGCTGCGTTTGATAGACGGGGAAGAATTTTCTCTGGGCTATTTAGGTCCGTGTCGGAGCAGGAATTCTATTCCTTTCTTAATCATGAACCATCGACAAGAGGAAGAAGCCATTTTCCATACAAATATCCTCTCTTTTCTTCTCAAACCTCCAACACTTTCTTTTCCTTCCTTCCTCTCATCGTTGACTTGTTTTGCTGCAGGGACTGGAAAACGGAGGTGAGGTGTGGGGAAGGGGAATGGTATTCGATAAGCAGTAAATGCTCTGCTGCAATGACGCAGACCCCCTTCAGCCACAATTTCTCTGCGTTTCTTTGTAGCCAGACTCTCTAACAAGGGTTGTCTGCCCACCTGCTCCATGTTCTCATATTCTCCTCTTCCACCAGTGTCGCTGGGGCTCTAGCCACTTCAGTAACTGAAACGTGTGTCAGATCAGCAGGTGACCTCGGCACTAAATGCAGTGTTCATCCTCAGTCTTCATCTCAGTCGACCTTTTGGCAGTTCTGACACCACGGGTCACTTTCTCTTTGATAGACTTTAATCACGTTAACAGGTAGTATCACACTCCCCAGGGGTTGCTCCAGGTTGGACCACTGCTGTTATAGTGGCTCCACCTTATCTTCACGTCCCTTCATGCTTCTTTTCTCATCCCAGTTGACCCTGTCTAGCCCCACAGCTTCGATGCCATCCGCATGCTGGCGGCTTCCAGTCTGCATCTCTTGTCTTCATGTCTCTCCTGAGCCCTGGACTTGTATATCCAACCTCCTCCTGGACATCTGCCCTAAAATTCTGCTAGGAGCCCACACTTACCACTTCTGAAACAGAGCTCTCAGTTCCCCTCCAGTCTTCTCCAAGTCAGGAAATAAGACTCGCAGGCATCCCTGACTCAGTTCGTTCTTTCACAGCCACATCCTTCCTATCAGAATGTCCCGCTGATTTTGTCTTTAAAGTACATCCCACATCAGACGGCTTCTCGTCACTTCTGCCATGACCACAAGGTTTAAAGCACCCTCAGCTCTCAGCTGGACTCTACTGCGGCTCTCACCTGGTCTCCTTTCCACACTTCTTCTCTCTAAACTCTGTTGTCCACATCTTCTGCTCAACACCTCTCAGTAGCTACTCACCACTATTAGGACAGAAGGGAAACTCCCTCACTTTGCCCTCAAGGTGCAATGTGATCTGGCCCCTCACTTCTCCAACTTGTCTCCTGCTCCTTCCCCTAGTCACACAGATACAGCGTGGAGCTTTAGGCTGAGCTTGTTCTGGATTTCTCCTTCAGATCTCATGTCATCCAGTGACCAGCTGGTTCCTGCCCAAATGTTAGCATCCCGTCTCACTTTCTATGCTTGGACTCCACCTTTTCTCTCCACACTACTTTGCACTTCCTAGGATTTATGAATATTATTATTTTTGTATTACATTAATTTATTATTCATTATTTACATTAATTTTTTCACTACTCCGTTTTTCTTAGTTTCTGCTTTATAACAAAGTGAATCAGCTATACACGTACGTATATGCCCATATCTCCTCCCTCTTGCATCTCCCTCCCACCCTCCCTATCCCACTCCTCTACATGGTCAAAAAGCACCGAGCTGATCTCCCTGTGCTATGCAGCTGCTTCCCACTAGCTATCTATTTTATACTTGGTAGTATATATAAGTCCATGCCACTCTCTCACTTCATCCCAGCTTACCCTTCCCCCTCCCCATGTCCTCAAGTCCATTCCCAACGTCTGAGTCTTTATTCCTGTCCTGCCCCTAGCTGCTTCAGAACCTTTTTTTTTTACATCCATATATATGTGTTAGCATACGGTATTTGTTTTTCTCTTTCTGACTTCACTCTGTATCACAGACTCTAGGTTCATCCACCTCACTACAAATAACTCAATTTTGTTTCTTTTTATGGCTGAATAATATTACATTGTATATATGTGCCACATCTCCTTTAACCATTCATCTGTCAATGGATATGTAGGTTGCTTCCATGTCCTGGCTATTGTAAATAGAGCTGCAATGAATATTGTGGTACATGATTCTGTTTGAATTATGGTTTTCTCCGGGTATATTGCCAGTAGTGGGATTGCTGGGTCGTATGGTAGTTCTATTTTTAGTTTTTGAAGGAACCTCCATACTGTTCTCCATAGTGGCTGTATCAATTTACATTCCCACCAACAGTGCAAGAGGGTTCCCTTTTCTCCATACCCTCTCCAGGGTTTATTGTTTGTGGATATTTTGATGATGGCTATTCTGACTGGTGTGAGGTGATACCTCATTGTAGGGTTTTTTTTTTTTTTTTTTTTTTTTTTTTTTTTGTATGCGTGCTTCTCGTTTTTGTGGCCTCTCCTGTTGTGGCGCCTCCCGTTGTGGAGCGCAGGCTCAGCAGCCATGGCTCACGGGCCTAGCTGCTCCATGACATGTGTGATCTTCCCAGACTGGGGCATGAACCCGTGTCCCCTGCATCAGCAGGCGGACTCTCAACCACTGCGCCACCAGGGAAGCCCTTGACTTTATTTTTGTGTATGGTGTTAGGGAATGTTCTAATTTCATTCTTCTACATGTAGCTATCCAATTTTCCCAGCACCACTTATGGAAGAGGCTGTCTTTTCTCCATTGTACATTCTTGCCTCCTTTATCAAAGATAAGGTGACTGTATGTGCATGGGTTTATCTCTGGGCTTTCTATCCTGTTCTCTTCATCTATATTTCTGTTTTTGTGCCAGTACCATACTGTCTTGATTACTGTAGCTTTGTAGTGTAGTCTGAAGTCAGGGAGCCTGATTCCTCCAGCTCCGTTTTTCTTTCTCAAGATTGCTTTGGCTATTCGGGGTCTTTTGTGTTTCCATACAAACTGTGAAATTTTTTGTTCTAGTTCTGTGATAACTGCCATTGGTAGTTTGATAGGGATTGCATTGAATCTGTAGATTGCTTTGGGTGGTATAGTCATTTTCACAATGTTGATTCTTCCAATCCAAGAACATGGTATATTTCACCATCTGTTTGTATCACATTTAATTTCTTTCATCAGTGTCTTATAGTTTTCTGCATACAGGTCTTTTGTTTCCTTAGGTAGGTTTATTCCTAGGTATTTTATTCTTTTTGTTACAGTGGTAAATGGGAATGTTTCTTTAATTTCTCTTTCAGATTTTTCATCACTATTGTATAGGAATGCAAGAGATTTCTGTGCATTAATTTTGTATCCTGCTACTTTACCAAATTCATTGATTAGCTCTAGTAGTTTTATGGTAGCCTCTTTAGGATTCTCTATGTATAGTATCAGGTCATCTACAAACAGTGACAGCTTTACTTCTTCTTTTCCAATTTGGATTCCTTTTATTTCTTTTTCTTTTCTGATTGCTGTGGGTAAACTTCCAAACTATGTTGAATAATAGTGGTGAGAGTGGGCAACCTTGTCTTGTTCCTGATCTTCGTGGAAGTGGTTTCAGTTTTTCACCATTGAGCATGGTTTTGGCTGTGAGTTTGTCATATATGGGCTTTATTATGTTGAGGTCAGTTCCCTCTATGACTACTTTCTGGAGGGTTTTTATCATAAATGGGTGCTGAATTTTGTTGGAAGCTTTTTCTGCGTCTATTGAGATGATCATATGGTTTTTCTCCTTCAGTTTGTTAATATGGTTTATCACATTGATTGATTTGCGTATATTGGAGAATCCTTGCATTCCTGGGGTAAACCCCACTTGGTCATGGTGTATGATGCTTTTAATGTGCTGTTGGATTCTGTTTGCTAGTATTTTGCTGAGGGGTTTTGCATCTGTGTTCATCACTGTTATTAGCCTGTAGTTTTCTTTCTTTGTGACATATTTGTCTGGTTTTGGTATCAGGGTGATGGTGGCTTCATAAAATGAGTTTGGGAGTGTTCCTCCCTCTGCTATATTTTGGAAGAGTTTGAGAAGGATAGGTGTTAGGTCTTGTCTAAATGTTTGATAGAATTTGCCTGTGAAGTCATCTGGTCCTGGGCTTTTGTTTGTTGGAATATTTTTAATCACAGTCTCAATTTCAGTGCTTGTGATTGGTCTGTTTATATTTTCTATTTCTTCCTGGTTCAGTCTCGGAAGGCTGTGCTTTTGAAAGAATTTGTCCATTTCTTCCAGGTTGTCCATTTTATTGGCATAGAGTTGCTTATAGTAATCTCTCATGATCCTTTGTATTTCTACAGTGTCAGTTGTTACTTCTCCTTTTTCATTTCTTGTTCTACTGATGTGAGTCTTCTCCCTTTTTTTCTTGATGAGTCTGGCTAATGGTTTATCAATTTTGTTTATCTTCTCAAGAACCAGCTTTTAATTTTATTGATCTTTGCTATCATTTCCTTTATTTCTTTTTCATTTATTTCTGATCTGATCTTTATGATTTCTTTCCTTCTGACTTTAGGGTTTTTTTTTGTTCTTCTTTCTCTAATTGCTTTAGGTGTAAGTTTAAGTTGTTTATTTGAGATGTTTCTTGAGGTAAGATAGTATTGCTATAAACTTCCCTCCTAGAAGTGCTTTTGCTGCATTGCATAGGTTTTGCGTCATCATGTTTTCATTGTCATTTGTTTCTAGGTATTTTCTGAATTCCTCTTTGATTTCTTCAGTGATCTCTTGATTATTTAGTAGTGTATTGTTTAGCCTCCATGTGTTTGTATTTTTTGTAGACTTTTCTTTCTGTAATTGATCTCTAGTCTCATAGCATTGTGGTTGGAAAAGATAGTTGATACCATTTCAATTTCCTTAAATTTACCAAGACTTGATTTGTGACCCAAGATATGATCTGTCCTGGACAATGTTCCATGAGCACTTGAAGAAAAAGTGTATTCTGTTGTTTTTGGATGGAATGTCCTATAAATATCAATTAAGTCCATCTTGTTTAATGTATCATTTAAAGCTTGTGTTTCCTTATTTATTTTCATTTTGGATGATCTGTCCATTGGTGAAAGTGGGGTGTTAAAGTCCCCTACTGTTATTGTGTTACTGTCAATTTCCCCTTTTATGGCTGTTTGCATTTGCCTTATGTATTGAGGTGCTCCTATGTTGGGTGTATAAATATTTACAATTGTTATATCTTCTTCTTGGATTCATCCCTTGATCATTATGTGGTGTCCTTCTTTGTCTCTTGTAACGTTCTTTAATTTAAAGCCTATTTTGTCTTACATGAGAATTACTACTCCAGCTTTCCTTTGATTTCCATTTGCATGGAATATCTTTTTCCATCCTGTCACTTTCAGTCTGTACATGTCCCTAGGTCTGAAGTGGGTCTCTTTTAGACAGCATATGTACGGGTCTTGTTTTTGTATCCATTCAGCCAGTCTGTGTCTTTTGGTGGGAGCATTTAATCCATTTACATTTAAGGTAATTATCAATATGTATGTTCCTATTCCCATTTTCTTAATTGTTTTAGGTTTGTTATTGTAGGTCTTTTCCTTCTCTTGTGTTTCCTGCCTAGAGAAGTTCCTTTAGCATTTGTTCTAAAGTTGGTTTGGTGGTGCTGAACTCTCTCAGCTTTTGCTTGTCTGTAAAGGTTTTAATTTCTGTGTTGAATCTGAATGAGATCACTGCTGGGTAGAGTAATCTTGGTTGTAGATTTTTCCCTTTCATCACTTCAAATTTGTCCTGCCACTCCCTTCTCACTTGCAGAGTTTCTGCTGATAGATCAGCTGTTAACCTTATGGGGATTCCCTTGTATGTTTTTTGTTGTTTTTCCCTGCTGCTTTTAATATTTTTTCCTTGTATTTAATTTTTGATAGTTTGATTAATATGTGTCTTGGCGTGTTTTTCCTTGGATTTACCCTTTATGGGAGTCTGCACTTCCTGGACTTGATTGACTACTTCCTTTCCCATATTAGGGAAGTTTTCAACTATAATCTCTTCAAATATATTCTCAGTCTCTTTCTTTTTCTCTTCTTCTGGGACCCCTATAATTTGAATGTTGGTGTGTTTAATGTTGTCCCAGAGGTCTCTGAGACTGTCCTCAATTCTTTGCATTTTTTTTTTCTTTATTCTGCTCTGCAGTAGTTATTTCCACTATTTTATCTTCCAGGTCACTTATCCATCCTTCTGCCTTAGTTATTTTGCTGTTGATTCTTTCTAGAAAATTTTTAATTTCATTTATTGTGTTGTTCATCATTGTTTGTTTAGTTTTTCTAGATCCTTGTTAAACATTTCTTGTGTTTTGTCCATTCTGTTTCCAAGGTTTTGGATCATCTTTACTATCATTACTCTGAATTCTTTTCCAGATGGACTGCCTATTTCCTCTTCCTTTGTTTGGTCTGGTGGGTTTTTACCTTGTTTCTTCATCTGCTGTGTGTTTCTCTGTCTTTTCATTTTGCTTAACTTACTGTGCTTGGGGTCTCCTGTTCACAGGCTGCAGGTTCGTAGTTCCTGTTATTTTTGGTTTCTGCCCCCAGTGGGTGTGGTTGGTTCAGTGTGTTGTGTAGGCTTCTTGGTGGAGAGGTGCCTGTGTTCTGGTGGATGAGGCTGGATCTTGTCTTTCTGGTGGGCAGGTCCACATCTGGTGGTGGTTTTGGGGTGTCTGTGACCTTATGATTTTAGGCAGCATCTCTGCTGATGCTTGTGGTTGTGTTCCTGTCTTGCTAGTTGTTTGGCATAGGGTGTCCAGCACTGTAGCTTGCTGGTCCTTGAGTGGAGCTGGGTCTTAGCATTGAAATGGAGGAAATCTCTGGGAGAGCTTTCGCCATTTGATATTACGTGGAGCCGGGAGATCTCTCGTGGAGCAGTGTCCTGAACTTGGCTCTCCCACCTCAGAGGCACAGGCCTGACACCCGGCTGGAGCACCAAGACCCTGTCAGCCACACGGTGTTCAGAGGCCTGAGCAGTGGGAGCTGCAGCCCTGACTCCAGCAGAGGCCTGAGGCCCAGTTGGTCCTCAGCAGGGAGTGGCAGGATGGGCACTGGGGGCTCCTGAGCACCCTCTGTGGCCTCAGGTTGAGGAGCAGTAACCCCTGCAGCTGGCGCAGTCCATTCACCATGAAATTCCTCCTCATTTGTGGCCCTTTCGGCAACCCCTGCCCTTCCTTTTCAGTTTCTTCAGGATCTGTCCACCTTAATTTTTGAAGGATAATTTTACTTTGTTGATAGTTTATTTTTCCTGCAGCACTTTGAATATGTCATTCCTCTGCCTTCTAGCCTCTATTGTCTCTGATGAGAAGTCAGCCATTAATCATATTGTTGTTACCTGTTGTGTCATGAGTCGTTTTTCTCTTGCTGCTTTTAAAATTTTCTCTCTTGCTTTCAGTGGTTTGACCATGATGTGTCTGGGTGTGTATCTCTTTGTGTTTATTTTTTGGTTTCCTTGAAACTTTTGTATCTATATAATAATTTTTTTGAAAAAAACTGGGGAATTTCCAACTGTTATTTCTTTAAACAATTTCTTCTTTTTTTTTCTTGTCATTCTAGGACTACTATTACACATATATTAGTACGTTTGAATTTTTCCTGTAGTTCTCCAACACTTTGTTCAATTTTATTCAGACTTTTCAACTTTTCAACTGTTTTTTAGATGGGACAGTTTCTTTTGACATATCTGTGTGAGTGTAAAGTTACCAAGTAAATTTGACAGTGGAGATGATATCTTTTTCTTTTATTTTCTTCTCATCTGGCCTCAATTTCTTAATCTAAAGAACACTGGCAAAACCCTGTGAATTTCTGAATAGGAGATAAATATAGATAGCAGAGACACCTCCACCCTGAAAAAACCCTGAAAACCAGAGTGAAGGGAGTAGTGTGGCTAATCAGTTTAGCTTTGGATCAGAATTTGCCTACTCCATCAGGAAAACCAGAGCCCCACAGTTAACATGACCCATTCTCTTGAGATGGTAATTAGCGATCATTTATTCTTTTTAAAGTAAATTTTATATGTGTGCGTGTTTGGTTCAGGAGGGAATGGTAATCTCATTTCCCATATGAGGTGGCTGATCAGAGTGTTCCTTCCAAAAACAAAGAACAATTGCCCTGGAAGGAATTCTTGCTAATGCAATTTTTTTTTTTTTGGACACATTACTTACCTTCTCTTGTGACTCAGTTTCCTGTAATCTGTAAATGGGGATAATAGATTATCATGACTAAATAAGTTAATATATGTAAATATTTTAGGAAAGTGTCTGGCACATAGCAAGCATTATGTGTTAGCCATTATTATGATCATTTAATAACATTTCTATGGTATTTAGAACCTCAGAGATGTACTAGAACACCAGATGAAATGGCACCCCAGGTCATTTCTCAATGGAGCCCTGGGCCAACTTCATTTCTCTAGAACTTGTGTCGCCCATGGTGGAAGGAGTTTTCCAATGATAAGTGCTTTGAAGAATCACTGGGACAATATTTATCAGGTGTGAAATTCAGTTGCCCTTTAATGGTGTTTTTACCTGGTGATAGTATCAGTCAGTGATTAAGGCCACATTTCATTTTGGTTACTTTTGAAAGAGAATAGTCACGTCAATCATACGACAGCTTTGTTGTGGTTGTTGTAAACATTGCCTTCATCTTTCAGATCCTGATTTTTAAATGCACCTGTGTGATGCAGTACCAACACTAATGGATTCTGAGTTCTTAACAGCTATTTCCACTCAAGTACCCCTTTCCCTACTTCCAACAATTGAATTTAAGCAGAACTGAATTGAATCATCTCCAGTGTCCTGGTTCTGTTATAGCTAGCGTTAAAACAAACAAAAACGTTTGACAAAAGGACCCTGGACCATTATGACACATTTTTTGAACAATCGTTAGGAAATATAAATCACCTTGTTGAAACCAATATCTTTAAAACACCTTGCTTTAAAAACACTGAATTTATTAATCTTTTTGTAAAATTTGCATATATAGAGAAGAAAACCAGTATAAATTCCCTTAACTAGGATGCCCTAAATAACTCTAATTAGAGCAGTTGAAGTGGGTTTTACTACAATTCAGGTTTCCACAGAGGGCTTAATCAACCTTCATGCATAATGAACACCCAGTAATGTTAAAGTGTAATCTATACGTGAAAAGGGCGTGAGAAAGAAACTATCCCCAGAGGTAAGACTGGGTGTTCAATGATTCAGATGGTTCAGAGCTAACAGAGATCTATTTCAGAAGTTCTGTTACACTTGTTGACTAAAAAAAATATATTTGACAACCTAAAATTTGAGAGGTACATTTTATTTGGCAGAAATTTTTAAGACTTCAAGGCCAGGAGGTAGCATCTCAAGTAACCCTGAGAGAACTGCTTCTAGGAGGCGAGGCGGGGAGTCAGGATATATAGGAGTTTTGCAACAGATGGCAGGTAGTCTGAATGTCAAAAGATTATTGTTAAAGAAAACCAGATATCTCAAGTTAAGGAATTTAGCGCTTTTCTATGTATGGGAAGATGCATGAGTCTGGGCTCACTGAAATCATTCTTTTGATACGCACCTCAGCTATCTGAGGCCAGTATCCTCATATCCTGAGTTTCCTCAGGGCTCACCGTGGGGAGTGGCTGCAATCTGATGGCTGCTAGATGTCAGGTATTCTTTTCCTTCCTTAGTTCCCTCAGGGCTCACCAGCTCACTGCTGGCAGTGGCTGCAATAGCTGATGACTGTGATATCCTTTGTTTACTGATATGACAGGCAGTCTTCCATTTCTCACACTGAATGTAAATTCTGATATTATTTTAGTACATTCAAGCTTTAGACGATGAAAATATGCATGTAGGATTTATAATACTCCATGTTTTATTAGAGAATGGCAGTCAAATATCTTTTTAGAGCTATCTTAAGTATATAAAATCAAAGTTACATGCCTCCAATTCATATAATAAAACTTTCAGCATTCAGTATTATGTGAATACTGTTACAAATATCTTTCTCATTGTTACTGTTTACATAGATCAGTATCTTTCGTGATCATTTTAATTCCCTCAGCATTAAGTAATTTCCTAAAGCAAGTGGCGAATGGGAGTAAGCAAGAAGCGTCTCAGTAAACCTTTGTTCACTGACTGGTTATTTAGTCTCTTCATTTGGAATAGGTATTTAATAACATTGTGTTGATCATTGTTCCACATGAAGCTGAATCTGGCCTCTGTACCCCAGCACCGAATTAAATCTTGGAGACAGAGTTTTGGGTGAAGTAGAAAAGGATAGCTTTATTGCTTTGCCAGGCAAAGGGGGCCACAGTTGGCCAATGACCTCAAAACTGTGTCCCAACCTGGAGCGCACAGTGAGAAGTTTTATATAATGGTTCAGAGAGGGTGTGATCAGCTTGTGGACATTCTTCTGATTGGTTGGTGGTGAGGTAAGTGGGAGTCAGCATCATCAACCCTCTGGTTCCAATGGGTCTGGGGTCTAAGTGCCTGTGGGCAGCATACTGTTAATTTCTCCCACCTGGTGGGGGTTTCAGTATCTGCAAAACAGCTCAATGATATTGTGATGTGTATCCCTTGATGGGGAACCAGGACCTTGTCCCAAGGCTGCACTATTGTTTCTCTTGACTGTTCCTCCCTTGTCTCCGCATCCCCTCCCTTTCCTAATTAGCAACTGTTGGAACCTGCTCATTGGAACTCAGGGAAGGTCATGGAGGCCGAAATGAAGCATATTTCCAGTAATCAAGAAATGGGGAACACAGAAAGGCTTTTGTGCCCAGAAGCCCCATAGTGTCCTGCTCGGTATCATACAGAGTCTTAGGTAACTGAAAAGTTGGTCTTAATATTAATCCTGTGCAGAAAGGAATGAGAGGAATCAAAGTGTTGAATAGTGGGCATAGGTGGAATTTTTACAGTTTGCAGAGATGTCTTTATGACTGAAACCCACAACTGTGAAGGAAAAGATGTATTCTGACCATTTGAACAGTAATTACCAGTGATTTCTGTGACCTCTACCTGATTTTCCCATGTCTATTCAAACATGACTAAGAAGAAGGATCCTGGAAGTGCTATTTCCTGTGGTTTCAGGTGACTCACAATTTGTCTGTGAAGTTCACTGCCTGTGATTGGGACCTCTGACTTGGTTTACAAGTTGCTATCTCAGATCTCTTTTGTTGTGCTTAGTATTCCTCAGATGGGGATGTTGTACTTGATAGAACGTAAACCTGCTAAGGACTAATTTTGCTCTTTATTTATTTAAAAAAGTATTTCTTGAGTGTTATAATAAGTACAGGGGATAAAGTGGTTAACATGGGGCTGCCCTTGACCGCAAATAGCTCCCTAGTGGCTCTGGGTCGTTTGCTTTAAAGAGGGCTGCATCTTGGATATGCCTGTGTTGCCTTGCTTTCCACTCCTTACATCTACCATTGACCTTCCCCAAATAAATCCCTACATTACCATAGTATTTTGCTTCTTGTTATGATTCACAGTGCTCTTACTATTTACAGCCAATATTTATTGAGCTTTATTCCATGCAAGGCACTGTGTCAAGGTCCTTGGAGGGATCATCTCATTTAGTTCTTACAACAACAGGTACTATTATTTTTTCTATTCAGTAGGAAATGAAACAGAACTTTAAAGAGTCTAAGTACATTATTGCAGGTTATAAGCTGGTGGAGCTGAAACTACTGTTACAGTCCCACTCTAGAACTCAACACTTAGTTACTGTGACAAACTGTCTCCTACTCACTTTATTTTCTTTACTTACTCTAGTAATTCCTAACTAGGAGAGCTGGGTAAATGGGGGGTTGAATAGGGGAAATGTGTTAATTAGTCTTTTTGAATTATAAGAGGAAATTTCAAAATACACCTCTTAGATCTTCCTCCCCAGAGATTCTGATCTGCCCTTTGCTGGTAGGAGGGACCTGTAATTTGATCTGAAAAAAACTCCGGCAGTAATTTTGCTTCACCCTCTCTGAGAACCATCAGGGAACAGTTACATTTGCTGTATCCTAGACTGCATACTTCCTACTTCACTCTTCCAGCCATCTGATTTCCAGTTGGACTCTTGGCTTTTTTTTGACTTTGATCATTCTTTGTTCTGGGTGTCTGACTCTGCTAACCCTACAGTAAATGGGAGCACTGTAGCACCCAGTTTGATCCCTATCTCCCCTGAGCTACTCCCAAAGAGGCTGCAGGCCTTCAGGTTGGGCTCCTTCTTGACTTCTTTCCGCCCATAGTGTAAAAAGTCTTTTTTCACTTTTAGTATTCCTTTTCTTGGGGCTTTTAAGTAAGTTTTAATAGGAGGTCAGTAATTGCAGCATAACAGATTTAAGGCAAATGGGTTGCAGACAAAAAGTCCTAGAAGATATATGACCAGAAGTTAATTCCCAATTTGCTGTTTTCAAGTGACCTTTGATCCATGTGGACATTTGATGGGAAAATAGTAAAAAAAGAATTATCCGCTGACTTTGAAAATTGTGTAGTTTTCTGGAATTATTTAAGTAAACCCAGCAAGCATTTATTCAGTTCTTAATACATAGGGTACTTTTATAGGCTTTACAGATGATATCTGAGTGAGATGTATAAACACTGCTCTTAAGAAGCCTAGAAGGAAGAACACAAATGCAGCTAACAATGATGAAAAGCATGAGACCTGTGGCAGAGGTTTAAAGCCATGCCTGTGGAATCCTTGGAGGCTGTTAACTTTTTTGGTTGTAGGTATCTTGGGATTCAAAGCACGAGCACCACATGCATTACACCTAAGCCTCATGGGAAAAGTCATTGTTAAGCTACAGGGAAGTGAGGTAGAGAGGAATTGGAATTGGAGAGAATAGCAGGAGGAGAGGCTAGAGAGGAAGGGAAGGGCCAGTACATGTAGACTGTTGCATACCATCTATGTTCAGTGTTATGTGTCTTTGGGTTCAAACCAAACAGTGTGTTTCATTCGTAGAGTTGGTGAATCTGATAGGAAGTAGCTCATTTTGATTTTCATTGATCTAGACTTACAGGCACTGGTGGACTCTTTTCTCCTAGCTATTCACAGGATTGACTCTGAATATGTTTCCCTGAGAGTGACCGAAATGCACAACCTCTTTTTATTTATTGTTCAGCGAGTCTGTGTGGCTCATACCATTCTATAATAGGGGCAAAATTGTCATCGAGAGAATCAGGACTATAGTTTTCATTAGTCTCACTTATATATTATGCACCAAAAAGGGAAAAGATAGATCCTACCATTAAAAATGATTGCCCTTACTGCTAATGACATGATCAACTTGTCGTAGTCTAAAAGCTAATTTTTGATAGCCAAGTCTGAGGTTCAGCAACACAAAGGTAATTATTATGCCTCTTACTTTCTTTAAAATTTACTGCCCCCACTAAATACACTACCACCATATAATTGTTTTCCTTACCTCCATCCCTTCCTCTCCTCTTCACTTGATCCCCTAACTTATATTCCATTATCTCAACCTAAAAAAATAGGGTAAATTGGCTAATCTTTTGTATGAAGTAAAAATCTTCTTCCTAAAATTCCCATCGTATTTCTTAAGGCTTGAGTTATCCCAATCTTGCCATATGTTTATGCCCATTAGCTACATTTTCTCAAGGAGACCATTCATTACCCTTGAATAAAGACTGAAATTTAGGTTTTTCCTTCAAATGTCAGGAATTCAGGATTCTGTTTGTATCAGTGACTTTGAAATGATTGCAAGTACATAAAGTGCAATTTATTGCCACTTTAAAAAATATAAGCTGAGAAAAGGGGCATGAAGTTACTTATCCCACACTATACAATGAATTACATCTATCCATCCATCTATTCAACAGATGTTTATTGAAGTTCCTTTAGCTAGTTTCTTGGAATACAAAGGTGAACACCAATGATAGCTGATCTACTTTACGTATTGCCCATAACTTATAGTGTCATATTCACAAGAAAATAATTATACAGAATTTATCAGTAACCCTGCTTTCTTTAGAACTTTAGGAATTAGCTACTTAGGGGACAATGAGTTTATACTGGTTGATATTGGTTTCAACTACAAAAGCAACTCATAGATGAGAGAAATCTGTGTGGCCTCTGGTAATTAGGAAAGGATTGGCAGAGAAACTGGGACTATATAAGAGCTTTGAAAGATGATTAGTACTTAAATAAATGAAGGCAAATGGAAATGTCCGTCCAACTATGGGAAGGTTGAGAAATAAATTCCATTCTTCCAATGCCCAGGCTGTTTTCCACGCGTGTGTATCTTTGGTTTCATTAGACTGACCATGAAGAGCAGGACTGGTTTGAAGCCAACAATTTTGGTTTTAGGATTCTTCCTTGTGGCCACATTGACAAATTATTCATTTAGCCTTTTATCAATACTTCTATCAATCAGGTGAACAAAAGATAGAGAAACTTACAGAAATCTTCTCATCTAAAGGGTGTCCTGCAGTGGGACATTTATCATTTTTATGTGAAGTGAGGCGATGCTCCTTGAAGACACTTTTTATTTGCTTTAGGTTTTTGCTTTATTTTTTTCTTGTTTACAGTAAACATTTAGTTTATAATAGTATATATTCATTAAGTATTCGGTAAATATTGAGGATACTGGGTAGAGGAAGAGGGTAGAGATTGTAATTTCTCATTGCCTCTTAGGAGGTAATTTTATGTAGGTTGAATG